ACAATGAAATTTCGAATTTGACCTCAGGGAGCTTAAAGTTACAAACGAGAAAAAGCTACAAGGCGGCATCGATGGCGCTGAGTTTCGACTTGCATCGAGCCTGTCACGCCGATTTATTGTTGCACGCAATCTTCCTCTCGTGCCCCCTCACCCCCCCCCCNTCAAGACACACGCACACATGCAACCTCACCCTAACCCACATGCATTTGTTCTCGCACACGCGCCACGCCGCCCTGACAGGCTCCTCTTGAAAGCATGATTGTTCGTTCATTAGACGCATCTGGCTCATCGGTGCAGTATTCGGGTTCGGCAAGATGCATTGGACGGATTCAATCAGAAGGAACTATATCATTGTGACATGAGCCCTGACATACGAGTATGCTTATGGATCTTACGGCTCATAGAAGAATCGATAAGGTTCCTTTTGATTTGAATCCGCACTATTGTTCCCTGCGTCGTTGAAGAGACGAGGAGCCAGGGTACGTGGGTAAAGTTTGGCCGATTTTACGTTCTAAGTAGCCTCCAGCAGTTCCACGAGTCGTGCTGAAGAAGCATAAGATATGAGTGTTCGGATGTTTCCAAATTTCCCCTGAAAAGACGATGGAGAAAAGTTATAGGTATTTTATTTTGAAAATTTCAAGCACTATACTAGGTATATGTTAGCGTTATAGTATGTAATTCAGTTAATGTATACATTAACTAGGAAAAGTGTACATTAACTGAAGCAGTCAGTTAAAGTGTGTAATTAGACTTTTATTACACACTTTAACTAGTTATTTTATAGAATAACTAGTTAATTCACATATTAACTGGGACGTGTCGGTTAAAGTATAAAAAATATGTTTTTTTTTTTTAATTCTTTTTTTCCTTTATTTCGTTGAAAAAGTCGAACAATTTTTATGGTACACAATTAAAAAATAAATTCAAATAAATTCAAATAAAAGGAATTTGAACTCTCGTCTAGAAACGAAAAGACAATGGAGAAAAGTTATAGGTATTTTTCTTTGAAAATTTCAAGCATTAAACTAGGTATATAAAGAAAAAAAAATCGATGAAAAAGTTCCTGTAGGATTTCACCATTGATATACTGCTACCGTGCTAAAGAATAACGTCATATCGACGGGGAAGCTGTAAGCGGTGTTTCAAAATTGTAAAAGGAAACCGAAACTATATGCATGGCTTCACAGAATATTCTTTATAAAGAGAAGGAAAATCACCGACATTTTCAAAAAATGACGTTCAGTTCTTTCCCATGTAGTAATAATTAAGTATTACAGGAAGTTTGCAACGCCACAAACCGAGATATGCATTTTTGCGGTTTCACCTTGGCTATAAACTTTCAGTTGTTGCCAAATTTCTTTTGATAAACACAAATATCTGAGGAAATCTGTGAATATTTTTCATTTTCATTTTTTACATAATTCCAATTGCAATCAGATGTAAATTACATGAAAATTTCAAGAGGAAATATTCCGAACTCTCCTTGAAGATAGACAATTTAAAGAAGTAAATTTGGCGACTCTCGAATGTTCATTCGGCGATATTCCTTAGGACGGCAGACTACCTAACGTCTCTACTTGAAAATGTAGAACTGAGATAGAATTCGAAAATAAGAGGAGCCTATCAGTTCGGTGCAAAATTAGTGCACCGTAGGTACAATAATCAGGGTTACATTTCTGATGAGAGAAGTAACCAACGCGAGTATTAAATAATTCTAAGCCGGTCTAAAATTGGAATACTGAAGAGTATGTGCTTCTTCTGCCAACTTTTCCCACGATGACACGCTCAAGAAGCCATTCTTGATATGATCAGAGGAAAATCTTGCTTACAGCTTCCCTGGCTTTCTCATGCGCGAATCGAAACTCCTACAAACACTGAATATGCAACTGTTGCAGCTCAGTTTAGTGAAAGGACGACATCGGTTATATTTAAATTACATTGAACTTACCTCTAGCTTACTTAGAAGTTTTTATTATACTTAAGAGCCGACTTACTTGAAGTTGCGAGGCAATAATGCAAGTTATTCAAACTTCCTAATGAAAAGTTTCGCGGTGCTTGAACGAAAACTCGAGGCTCGGCAGTTTTATAACAAGGTTACTCCCATGATTTCTTTTCTCGTTCGTATAATTTTGGTTCGGAAAATGTTTCGATTAATTTGTTTTTATGATCACTACGCTTTATTAAGTTTTATTCGGACACTTCCCCAATGCCAATCGTCGGAAATTGATAGCACTGCTTTCCCTCCATTTAAATCTGTTACTAGTCGTCAACTCAAAAATAATACTGGCGTGTTAAGGAAAAACGCCGTATGAACCTTCAGACGTTGCCATATTTCCCCAAAAACCCCGAATTTACTGGGAAAATTGTGAATATTTTTCATCAAATTTTTTGGACGATTTTGTCCGCAATTCAGTCTAAAATATCTGTACACTTCAAGGAAAAATACGCATGACTTTCCTCAAAAATACGTGTTTTATCCGGGGAAATTTTGCAACCCCCGAATGTTCATACGGCGTTCTTCCTCAGTACGGCATAATACGGCACCGGTAAATCGAAAATTTTGAAAAGAAAAACGCCGTATGAGCATTCAGACGTTGCCAAATCTTCCCTGATAAAATATTTATCTTTCAAGAATGCTATTAATACTTATTTAGTACACTTTACAGCGAAAACAAATTGTCTGAAAAATTGAAAGAAAAATATTCAGGGTTTTCTTAGTAACTCGGTTTTCATCGGAGAAAATCTGCCGCGCTAAGGAACAGGGCCGGATTTAGTGGGTGGCCACATGGGCCGCGGCCCATGGCGGCAAATTTAGGGAGCGGCAAATTTTGCAATTTTTTTGAAATGTAGTTATAACAAAAATCGGATTCAGAAAAAAATTATAAAGACTGCGCACCTTTAATTAGTTGAGTTAAGAGAGAAACCATACACGTAATTTGGCCTGGAGAGGCGCGGCGCAGCGAGGAATGATGACGAGGACTTGAGATGAAAAGGAGAAGCCCTCGGCGCGGCGGTCGGCATGTAACACATATTAGCGCCTACAAGAGTGCATGAATACTTCACGCATTGCGTCAAATACAGTGCGGTCAACAGCCAACAGCCAACAGCGGTCGGCGTGAAACGCATATCGCCTTCAAGCCTGCATGAGTACTTCACGCATTGCGTCAAACACAGTGCGGTCAGCGTGAAACGCGAGGAACCTACGAGACTGCATGAATATTGCACGCATTGAGTCAAACACAGTGCGGACAATGTTAGCGGTGGAAGTTAAGATTATTAAAACACATTTATGTTCGTTCTTTCATAATTTTTTAGTTCATTTCTTACAAATGAAAGGCCTTATCCGTACAGAAATAGGTTTACGGAACTGAACTTTCGCGCAAAGTTCTGTGAACTTTTGCTACTAGTGTTGACAGGGCTTACGCAAAAAATGTGTCCAACACTAGTGAACGCGTCTTATGCACCCTTCCCTGCCGGCACGTTCCCTTGATGGTTTTTATTGATATTTCAAAACGAATAAGAAGGGTGCGGCAAAATACAGGCGGCCCATGGTTGGCAAGTTGGTAAATCCGGCCCTGCTAAGGAAGAACGCTGTATGAACGTTCAGACGCTGCCATGTTTTCTGCGATAAAATCGAATTTATTAAGAAAATTGTGAATATTTTATTCCAGAATTTGCAGACAATTTTTCACGCAATTTAATCTAAAATATCTGAAAATTTCAAAGAAGACTTTGCATGAATGTCCTCAAAAACACATGTTTTATCGTGGAAAATTTGGTAGTTCTCGAATTTCATGCGACGTTCTTCCATAGCACGGCTGAAATGCGGCATTGACTAAAGGCTCATATGGCGTTTTTCCTTAGTAGGTTTTGAGAGCCAAGCGAAAATTTAATAGTTACTCAAAAACAAAAGCCCTCTCCAAAGGACCGTAAAAATCGTGGCATTGTCCCATTTTTTCTTTCACTCATAACTCCTCATAATTTCCTGCTCTCAGTGAGTAAAAGAACGGTTTTGTTTTTCTTCATTCTAGTCCTTTCCGACTTGAACGGCAGCGAATATTTGATGAGCCTCTATTGTTACATTTGATTATTATTTTCCTGCTCTCATTCTGCGTCGCGCCGCACAGTGAATCGAGTCAATTAGAGAGGTCGGACATGAAATTTTTGACTAAAACTGCAAATTTTGATGATTAATTCGTCACATTTTAAATTTTAAGGGGTGCTCTAAGAGGAAAATGTCACGAGAAAACCGTAGGAACCATTTTTACGGCCTCAAAGTTTTGTACAAACGGAGCTATACGCTTTTAAAGTTTCCAAATTTCGTCCGACATCTGCTATTGACTCGTTCCACTGTGCGCCGTGTCCAAACAATCTCAAACCCGCAAGGGAAATATGCGACTCTTTGCTCTTTTGTGCATTCATATCCGAACTCATGTTCTCTTTCACTCGAAAGCTCTCTCCAATTTCAGCTCCATTCTACTCTACTTTCCCTGATTAAGCTTTCATAAGTCAAAAGTAGAACTTAGGCGTATCACATCGCAAACAATAACGCTTGCTGCTTTTCAGATGTCTGGCTCGATTTTAAAAGTATATGACACAGGATGATCAAGCGTAAAAATTTGAAAGAAGTAAAATTGACACTAGCGAAAGCACAAAGGAGTAGTATTTCGCCTTCAATTCTCGAAGTAGGCCATAAAACATACTCGGTGCAGTGATACTTGGGGGGTACTAAACTTCACCTTGGTTCTGATATTGCTGCTTTTACAAGCAGCAATATCAGGTCTTATTAGTTCGAGATTAAAAAGCTCTTGAAGTGAAAACCACATGTATGAAAGTGAATAATTTAAGTGCGTTGATTAGATACAGAGGCTAGAACATCTACCAGAAGAAAAAAAAAACGCAACAAGGCGCACTAACTCAACATTTATTTAAGAAAACCACACTCTCAAAGTATTTACAGACATTCATCGGTGATTAAGATTGAAATAAAAAGAAATGAATCAGACATGAGGACTGTTATTTGAAGATTCAGAATTTGATATGATCATGGACTGGACTGAGTACAAAAATAGACAACATAATTTGCGGAGTTTATTACAAACATTTTTTTAAACTTATCTATCTTTTCCTGAACATTTATTGATTCAGTATCACTATTTTAGGGGTCACAAAAAGAAACGTCACAGAAGAGTCACAACTTTTCTATGCATACTTGAGTTGATGATTTGCTCTCCATTTTTTATGAACATAAAAAATACGCGTTTACATTTTAATGTGATAATACATGTCCATCAATCAATTGCCTTCACTCATCGATATGCACTTATATTGACAGTAAGATAAGACCTCTCATAACAGGTCTTACTAATACTTATAAATTTTACACAATATGCACTTGATAAGAAGATTGAGACCTCTCTACCTACGTTTTCCATGCCATCATTTATTCTGCATCCTTCTTACATCGAGAGTTAGATTTTAAACTCGATCCATCAAAAAATTTGATGTTTTCATTCTGTATCAAACGAAAACGATGTACCGCTAAACGAAACGCTTCAAACCCCGATTTTCAGGTACATATGTAAGTTCGACATTTAGTCCACAATTAAGTTTGATAGCCTGTGTTTGCTGATTTTTTTCACTTCTCTGATACCTGCGTTAATTTCTGATTCTACATCACTGTCAAGACGTTCTTGCATAGACGACAAAATCTTGTGTGGGTCACTTCCTGCCACGCACATTATGAAGGGAAAGCCGAATTTTTTCCTGTACCTGAAAGGAAGGAGGGGCAATTTTTAATCTCGTGCAATTTTAATATTTCTCAAAATTTCCGGCTGAAATATGCCCAGATGAAAAAAAGAAGGAAATATTTTCTCTGAAAAATGTGACGGAGATGGATACTGCCGTGCTAAGGAAGAACGTCGTATGAACATTCGAGAGTCGTCATATTTCCGCGGATAAAATGTTCATTTTAGAGGAAACTTATCAATATTTTTCCTTGAAATTTTCAGACCTTTTAGATCAAATTATAAACAAAATTATCTGAGAAATTGGCAGAAAAATATTCAAAAGTTTTCTTGGAAATCAGTGATTTGCCAAAGGAAATTTGGCAACGCCTGAAGGTTCATACGGCGTTTTTCCTCAGCACGGCAGGATATTCAGCAACCTCATTAGAATCTCGTTGGATTTTTGTTTTTTAGATTTCCACAGGAGAATAATGATCATTCTAGGCCAGAAATGACAGATGCTATCTCCTCTGGGAAGATATTTTTGAAAACAATTTGTAACTGTAATGAATTCCTCAAAAGTCTAGAGTGTAAACTTATCTTGGCAAAAATGTTACACTACCAAAAATGATTAAAATTGTAAGAACTCACATGAGATTTCTTAACCGTTTTATTCTGACTTTTGCTCTGAACATGATTTTTTCCTCCAAGCTTTTCAAATAATGACAAAAAACAGTTGAGGATGTTGCGTCAATAGCATATTCTCTTCATTCAAAACTTACAGTGAATTAAGTTCTGTGAAACTTGACTGGGTATGTTCAGGTAATGTCGTTAGACCCGATTTTGTTTGTTCATTCACAGAGTCTTCCGTCACGTGTTTGTTTAGGGATGCAAGCTCCGGATGCTGATGAAGAATTTTCATTTTGTCTATCAAATCAGACATAAAAGTAGAATTCAATATAGCTCATAAAATTAGGGTCAGACCCTCCAACAACCTTAAAAACCCCCTTCAGATATTAAATCAACCTAGTCAGGGTGAATATGCTCAAAAGATCTTACAAGAATGTTCAAGCTGACTTCAAGGTTTCGACAAACCAAGTTCTGTTTACTTTTATTATTGTTCTTTTTGATCTAGTTTGGTTTCAGAACATTTGAAAATGTCCTCTATTTTTAGGTTTAAATATTCGTTTCAAAACATTGTTTCCGGTGAATTCTTAGTGTCAGTAATTAATTGCTCTTGATCAACATTTATCAATAAATGAATTAACATATTTAAGTCGCTTGATTTTTCAAAAAATAAAGAATATTCACAGAGTTTTCTATTTTTGTTTTTTAAATATGCAAAACTCCGACGGTCTTCAAATTTTTACTGCCTATGGACATTTGAAAAAAGGCTCGATTTGAATTTTAGCTTATTAAAACAGATTTAGTCTTATTAAAATTATATACCCATGTACTGCAGTATACAAGTCAAAGGGCTCATGTCTTTAAGTCAGCAAATAAAAAATTAAGATTTGTGTCTATAAAAAATTGATTTCATCCTGTTCCTCACCTTCAATCGTAAGTGCGTCAAAAAACTCTTCAAGTGAAGAAAGGACTTCGTATGTATTCATGTACGGTCGGCGAGTTAGGAGATGTAGAGCTGCCTGAGGACACTTTTCAACCACATTTCCAAAGGTCATCATGAATTTTGGTTTGTTCATGCCATTGATTTCCTTAATATTCAACTGTTGAACCATGTTTGCTTTTGTGATTAACTGTCTATTCAAAATATGTTTTCTCCTCTAATGAATGAGTGGCAGAGCCTGATGTTTCTTTGATGGTATCAAAACCAAAAAATCAGATTTTCTTGACCGATAAACATCAATAGAAAACCAATTTTCGCGACCAGGAATTTGCTGATTCGGGAATTTTTCGATACCTAAGTTTCCGGTTTACTGAATCAAATTATAGTGACCGTACTTTAATTCTAGCCAACGTATTTCTGGTTGCCGATCGGTATGTCTTTTTTCAAAATAAAACCTAGTTGTCTAATTCCGCGAATTGATCTTTTTTTTAAATTAGAACTTTAAGAACGATTACTTTAATGGAAATTATAGTTCAGATATTACTGAAAGCACACTTCACTTTCTTCAAATAAATTAAACATTAAAATAAACACAAATTTTAGCTCCTCCGAACTATAGTCTAAATGAAAGCGTGGTTTTAATGATTCTGTATGCGAAATACGATATTCATACGACTCACTTTGAGAATCACTATACTCAGTAGTATTCACAATATTTATATTTCTTCGTGGCAAACTGAGCAGAACAAAAATTCAGCACAAAGCACAAAGTAGAGGGCAGAAAAATACTTTTCAGAAATAACCACAGAGAAAGCAGCACATTTATAGTCCCGGCTTCATCAAAACATATTTGTAAATTGCATCTCTCAAGACGAGAAAGATTAGTCATAAGAGAGACAAAGCCATTAAGAGCATGCCAGATAACTTTGATAACGAGCAGCAATAAACGGTTACCAAAAAAAGAAGGTAAAAAAGCATTCGAATTTTATCAGTGTGTTCTTGATAACGCGAAATTAGCGTAAATACGATAGCTGGTGCTTGTTGTTGTTTGTGTCATTCAACTTTAACTTAACAACTTAATAATATGACGCCTCTAAAATCGTTTGTTGCGATGATAACTCTTTGAGTTCGCTACGTGCATAAGTGGAGTGCTCTCTTGTTGTAAAAAGATACACGTCTAAATTGTTACTAAGGCTATTACTGCCGTACTATGGAAAAACGGCATATGAACATTCAAGAGTTACCAAATCTCCTCCCATAAAATATTGATTTTTGAAGAGAGTTATACATATTTTCTGTCAAAATTTTCAGATAATTTAAATATGATTGCGATTAAATTTCTCTGAAATATTGGATGAAAAGTATTCACACATTTCTCTGAAAATTCCTCTTATTTCGAGGGAAATTTGGCAACGCCTGGAAGTTTATACGGCGTTTTTCCTTACCCCGGCAGATTTAGTAAACAGCTGCGTTGTAAACAGATACTCTAGTTTATTTGGTTTTATCTGAACTCTTACTTTATGCATTCCAATGTATTTACAATAATAAACTTTCAACTGCCAATTGTGTATCACTCCAGCCATAGTAGAAGAAATTTGAATAACATGCTTGGTTCTATGCGAGGTAAAATTCGGAGGGTTCAATAAAATATTTCAACGACATTGCAATATTTTAGATGAAGGTATGAATTTATTCAACATCTCCCAATTTAGAGAAAAATGCTGGAAAACTTTTGAAATTATAATTTGTTTTAGAGGTAATTTTTTTTTTTCAATTGCTTTGTGTATGATTCGATGATTGTGTGTGGTGTTCAATTAATTATTTTGAGCAATTGAGTCAGATTTTTTACTTAGGCCGCAATCAAATTTGATAATCTGATTCGACTGATTTTCTTCACTTCATGTAGGTCAGCATTTAATTCTGATTCTACATCATTTCTCAAACGCTTTTGCAGAGAAGACAAGATCTTTCCGGGGTCATTTCCTGTCACGCACATTATAAATGGGAAACCAAACTTTTCTCTGTACCTGGAAGAAAGCAATAACAAACAAACGCTTTTTTAGAGACTAGGTCGACCGGTAAAAGCTATCTTTTAAGTCATGGGTAGTGTGCTTTATAGCATTCAGCGTGGCCTGGGACTCTTTCAAATTTGCAACTTTTTCAAAGAAGTAATCAAGTGACATTAGCTGTTGCCAAAAATCACTTTACATGTCATTTTCGTTACATGTCGACGATCGCACCAATCCATTTAAAGAATGCATGCAATTACCTCCGAGGTATAAGGCAATTATTGACTAATAGAATTTTCAAACGAATTGATGCATTTTGCTTTTTTCATATAAAGGTGGAAATCACCCAATAAAATTTGGCAGTAGCTGATTCACAGAGGCCTCTCTCGAAAAATACAACCGTAAAGCACAACATGAAAAGTATCGATATCCAAAAATCAGTGAAAAGAAAAAATGTACATTCGCATTGACTTTCATTTTTGTTTCATTGACAAGCTAAAGTATAAGATCCTATCAATTAATTTTTCAATTTTTTACAACAATTCTAAGCGTAGAAAAATCAACGAAAATACTATAGTGGCTTGAAATGATACAGGAATATTTTTTTTATACTTTGCAGCCGCATTCAAAAGCACTTATAACATACGGTCGTCAGTTTTCATTTATCTAAGTTTGTTAAATCTGTTTGACTACGTGTTAAGCTTTAAAATTGCTTTGTTGCAAAACTGACCGCTCCTGGAGTTTGAACCGTAAGGACTCGTCAAATGCGTGTTGAAAAAAAAGAACTTACAATGTATTTAGCTCTTCAAAACTTGACCGGGTGTGCTCAGTTATTTTTGTAAGGCCCGACTTAATGTGTTCATGGAGAGAGTCTTTTGTCATATCTTTGTCTGTAGCCGTGAGATCAGGGTACAAGTTTAGAATTTTCATTTTATCTACAAAATATGATAAAAATGGACGGTATAATATCAGCATTCAGTGTAGGTAAAAGAGTTAGTGCGAGCAAGTATACATACTCAAGGATGAATATTACGCCAATTTACACCTAATTTTTTCGTCATATTTTCCCACGAGTTTAAGATATATTTTGATGGCATTGCTATGTTACTCAGAAGAGATTAATTTTTCAGCAATTTTTTCCCTGATTTGTGAAAATATTGCAATTCTGACCAGAAAACCAAGGAATAACAAGGATGAATCCAAAATCGACTCATGATCACTACAGCGGTGCGACATTTTTAGTATGAGCAGTTAGCTATCGGTCCTTACTCACTTTTGCGCTTTGCTATTTTTAAGACATAACTCTGAAATTCATATTACCATCATAATACGCAATACGAACTTTCAGTTTTCCAAGTCTCAGAACGTAAAGAAAGCGGATTTACGTCGGATTTGCTATTGAGAAAAATTTCCAAAAAAAATCACCGAACTTTCCGTTTGAAGTACGGAAATAGGAATCCAATACAACACAAATTAAATAATATCCTTCAGAAACTCGGATTGTGACTGCAAGATTTGGATTTTTCTATAAGAAAAGAATACACATTTGACTTCTTTTTAAGTCGTATAAATTATTTTATTTTCAGAATTTTAAAGTGCGTAAAGTAAAGGACTCACCCTCCGTCGAAAGCGAATAAAAAAATCTCTCAAGTGAAGAGAAAACTTCATTTGCATTCATATACGGTCTGTGCGTCAGCAAAAAGGCGGCTGCCTCTGGGCATTTTTCCACCACATCCGCAAAAGTCATCATGAATTTTGATTCCTCCATCTGATTCAAATCACCAATTTCCATTCGTCCATCCACGTTACTTGTCTCCATTATTAAATGTCTTTTTTGAAATATCACAGTATTTTTCCAAAAAACGTCTTAGTAAGCTTAGTAATATATTTTAGTTAGAATTCTCTTATATTTCAGCACTTCAAAAACACTTCAAGGAAACCTAAAAATTCACATGGAAGCCAGTTCACTCTCTGTTCGGAGGACACTGCCTTGTTAAAATACACGTAAAAAGGTAAGACTTTTAGGTGATCCTGATCTAAGTCCTGGTGATACTTAATCATTCCGCATAGAATGAACTTTATAGTATAAGCGAATAATAAATGGGAAAAGAAGTTGAGATCACGATTTTTTTTTCTCTCTCAAGAGCTCAAGCATCGTTTGATTTTTCTTCTTTTTTGTTTCAAATTTAACGACCATTTCTAAAATGTCAACAATTAAATTGAAAATTCCCTTCTTTACATTACACTAATTTGTTTTTTTTGTTTTTTTTTTTTTTTTTTGTTTTTTTTTTTTCGATACGGAACATACTTTCATATTTTCATCTCGGTCACTTGAGCTTTTTTAAAAAATGACTATAAAAGCATCGGGCCACTGTCCAGTGAATCAATGAAGAAATTGCATGCAAATTTTAATTGCCGCATCTGAAAAAGCCCTAAGAGCTGATTTCACAGTATTTTTTACATTTTTTCTGACATGGGAAATAATATAAAAATAGATGTGAAAGTGAGAAAATGCGCAACGCTTAGTGACGTCCTCTCGGTGACATTTCCAATTTAAACACACGTATTTTAGCAGATTAGATCATTTTGTCATATCCTCCCCAATAATTGTTCAATTCAGAGACCAAGGGTATTCTCTTGTTCGGTTCACTGAATAGTTCTCACTTAAACACAAAATTCATCACATTTCAGGCACCTGCAAATTGTCTATTCTTATTATTCTATCGTGTTCTCCTAGGAAAAACCCAGTTTTTTTTTCCGAATGACGTCACAAACTGAATGTATCTTGTTCTCGTCGGAAAGGAGCGAGAGTGAAATGGAAATATCCAATGCCGAACGCGGACTGCATCTTGTCGCGCCTCTGACGTTAGGAGGTACCTTAGTCTCCACGTGAGCCTTGTCATACGTATAAACCCATGGTTTTTGGGGCTCATGCGGAAATTGAGATACGCCCTTATGTAGGAGGGCCGGTGATTTTTTGCCGCTCGCTCGGACAGCGGAAAGGACCGGTTGGTGGTGACAGTTTTCGGATGATATATTCGTGAATTTCTTTCGAGGGACGATGGATCCGACTACACCCTATATGGATATGCAAAGCGCAGATTTCATTTCCTGCGAAGTCTTTGGGCCCACTGTTGCCAATCTCTTCTCGTACACTTTTAAAAGTGTAATGATATGTTCTCATATCGGAGATATGTCGGGTAAATGGAGCGTCACAGTGGATCGAGTCAATTAGAGAGGTCGGACATGACATTTTTTACTAAAACTGCAAATTTTGATGTTTGTTTTGTCACATTTTAAATTTCAAAGGGTGCTCGTAGCGGAAAATTTCACGAGAAAACCAATGGAGCCGATTTAGAAACTCAAAGTTTTGTATAAACGGAGTTATTAGCGTTTAAAGTTTCCAAATTTTGTACGACCTCTCCTACAGGCTCGACCCACTGTGCGCGTCAAGCAGAAAGGAACCAAGCCACATCTGCAATTGCCAAATTTAATTGAGCAATTAAATTTTTTACATAAAAACGGTTGTGCGGATTTTGCTGCATATTTTTGTGAGTTTTTTGTGTGGTGCGAAGCAAATTTTTCGAACCTTTTTTTGGAATCCGTACAACTGTTTTCTTGTAAAAAATTAAATTACTTAGATGAGCTCAAATAGCCAATAGCTGATGTGGCTTGGTTCCTATTGTGCTAAACGCGGTCCGTAATTCCTTCAAATTTTCAGATATTTTGGACTAAATTGCGAAAAAAAATTGAAGATAATTAAAATTCATTAAAACTTTCAAAGAATCTACACAGCCGTTTTCATGTAAAAAATTAAAGTGCCCAATTAAAATTTGGCAATAGCTGATGTGAATTGGTTCCTTTTTGCTACACGCGGTCCAAATTAGAGTACCGCCTATTTAGACAGCTTGCGGACACGTCGGTAATGTTGAGGTTAGGTCATGGAGCTTTTAGGGCCGGAAAAGGCAGTCAACTTATGAATCCAAATTTTCCACAGTCATTCATTATTACAATTAAACATACTTATGCTAAAAGGAACTATAACCGGTTGAGAAAGATGATGTTTGCTCGTAAACACTGCATAAGGAACAATGAAAAAGTGGGCACGATTCCTTTAGGCAAAATGGGAGAGCGGAAGTTTAAATTGAATCGAAAGGAACTAAGCGCCAAGATATGCTCACTCTACACGAACTTTGGTTGCATACTTTTCTTCACCTCAAGATAATTTCACGAAAATTGTCGTATTAAAATCGTAAATCCTATCTGCTGTATTGCACTTTAATAATTCTTATCTCTGGAGACTTTCAAACGAAAATATACTCGACGAACAAATGAACGATCCATAAGCAACGCACTGTTTCCACAATATCCTACTATTCACCAAGATATCACATTTTGACGAAAAAATCATTAAAATTAAACTCTTTGAAGGCACTAGCTTCTAAAATAACATTACTGATTTCTCATCGCACTCCAAAGGAGATTAAAATATTTTGTCAATAACAGCTGTGATAAAATTATCTCAATTTGCCTATGACGATGATCGTTTTGCAATCATTTTTCCATCCTCAATTCATCATGTTTCTGTACTTTTCTTCATTTATTGTACGGCGGAACTACGATGACGGATAAATTCATATCAAAGTGCGTCATCTCTCGTTTATTCATTTCAGTTTCAACCAGTTCATCCTTTACTTTATGACCTATCTACAAAGTACGAGATAAAGAAAGCTATTTTTTGTGTTCGCCCTACGATAAACATTTAAGTCCGTATTTTAAGGTAGGTCATCAGCTTTGCCGCAAAGCATTTTGAGTAGTATCGATATATTCCAAATTTTAACCATTAGGTTAATTATTTTGGAAAAATCGAAATTTTAGATCTTAGTTTAATTATTGACCCTTATACGTTTGCGACGTTTTTTGTACGCGAAGTGCCAAGTCGGGTCAAATTGACTCGTATCTAAATCCATTGAATTTGATAGTTTTCGAGATGTTATTTCCATGTTTCTAAAGATAAGAAATAGTTGCTCTGAAATTTCCACTTTTTTAGTATCATACTGCCGCTTTCTCATCCTCACGTTCGCTTCTTCATCTTCGCTTCTTCATCCGCCACGTGTAACACTTACCCAGGAAGCGATAGTCGGGTCAATTTGACCCGGCAGGGAATTTCTGGGACTAGTTGTTAAAAAAAATAAAATAAAAAAAAAAAACAAAAAAAAAACAAACCTGACACGACAAAACTCTTGCCAAAATAAAAATTTTAGAACGGGCGCCCTTTAGGGCGCTCAAAAGACCTAGTTGCTTACGACGCCTTTTAAGTACCGCTACAATTAAGGCAAACGGAGCCCACTCCAAATGGAAATGGAGCATGGGAAAGTGCGCGCGTTGATGACGGCGCAGAGATACAACTATTCATGCTTGATGGATGTCCGTGTTGCATCTGCAAAATTGAAGGCGCGATGTTGTGAGGCGTGACCCAGCAGGACTCAGCTCTCTCATAGACTTCGGAGAAAAGATAAAAAACGAGATCCGAATATATCCCTCTCATCTTCTCGAACTATAAACGGACGATTTTGCAGGAAGAAGAGAAAACTTCGCCATGTTTGTAATCTTACGGTTAGATTTGCGATTTTTTCATACATTAAAGCGTCATTGAAGCGCTCTCCTACCGAATTGGAAAAAAAACTAAAATCATCAGATTGCGTATTTTATACTGCAGAATGCGGCAAAGTTGCTAACTCATTTTTGTCAAAACTGACAGATAGGCGGAATATCCGTCAATATGAGACATTAATAGTTTCCCTAAGCATACAGGGCATGGGTGAGATTGAGATAGACGCCCCCTCTTGCAAAATGCAGTCTATACATGAGAGGCGAAGAACATCAACTGTAATTCGCTCCGTCAATTAAGTTTTTTTCAGCCCCCGCAATTATCCGTGCCTGAATCCCTTCGACTTTGTAGAAAGCCCACTAAATCCCATTATAATCAGTTCGTTGATTGCGGCAGTAGCGCGTGGCGTGAATGATCGATTATCGATATCACGCCATTTGAAGCTATGATAAAGAATCGATTACTAAGGTTTTCGCTGCGAACACCCTGATAATCGATCTTTTTTCATAGGTTTGAGTGGCGTATCAATCGATATATCGCAAAGCACGCCACGCCGCTGGATTGCGACTAATCCAACAAGCTTGGCCTCGTATTAATGGCCCATTGTTTTCGAGTGAAGTAATGATAACAATACGTTCGACGTAATAATCCCTCCTCTTTGTGCGTATATGTTCCCCGGTTGGACAAAGAAAAAGTCGCACAATGAACCCATATGAACGATCTGGGATTTGCGGTAAAGGCAAGAGATTCTGTGTGGAACATCATTGCATAGACACGAGAAAGATTAGTGACTTTGTACCTATGGTGCGAATTTCGGAAGATAAAGTTCTTGATTCCAAAAGTTGCAGATTTCTCGCCACGGTTTAAATAAAAGGAAGAAAATTGAAAATAAATGGAATACATGGTGGTGAAATACCTTTTTTTTTTTTTTCCAACGGAATATTTCGACCCATTCTGCCCTTGTCACTCTTATACTTGTATCACATGAGTTTTCAGAGGGAAAAATGGGCTTCGATAGGAATTCCGCCGTGCAAGAGAAAACTATACTGGAAAAAAACCACATTGGATCTAATGCAAAGAAAATTTATGCATATTATCCTCCCAATTTCGCAGATAATTTTGTTTGCAATTTCACCTTAAGATTCTGAAAATTTGAAGGAAAAATATTCATAACTTTCTTCAGAGATAAACATTTTGTCGAAGTAAATTTGGCAACTCTCGAAGGCTCATACGGCGTTCTTCCTCAGCACGGCAGAACACAGCAGGGAAAAGACGCGCGTTAATGACGACGCAGAGCTACAACTATTCGTGCTTGACGGATGTCCGTGTTGCGTCTGCAAAATTGAAGGCGCGATGGCGCGAGACGTGCATTCGCAATGCTCCGCTCTCTGTTGTTCTGATGGTGTTGCCAGAATTCAGGAGAAAAGTACAAAAAGGAGGCCCGATTACGTTTCTTTACGTTACACAGTCAAATTTTCCGATACGGAACTTTTAATTTTCATGAATTTCTCGGTAATAGTCTTCTTTTCAAATTTTCAAATACGTGCACTGGAAAAAAACACATTTGATCTAGAGTCCAAACTCTTGAAAATATTGACAAGAAAAAATACTCTTGATTCAATCAGATTTTTGCTTAAATCAAAAGGAAATCCGCTCAAATTAAGAGGCTTGGTTCTTGATTTAAGCTTAAATCCGATTAAATCAAGAGTATTTTTTCTTGTCGATGTTTTTAAGAGTCTGGAATCGATCCAATGTGCTTTTTTTCCAGTGTACGTATGAGCATTCGAATGTTGCCGAATTTCTCTTGCCAAAAAATGAATTTTTGGGAGAAAGTTAAGCATACTATGCCTTCAAATCAGATGTTTTAGACCAAATCACGAACAAAATTGGAAGAAAAATTAGATGAAAAATATGTACAACTTTCCAATGAATTTGTATTTGATTAAAAAAAAAAAAAAAAAAAAAAAAAAAAAAAAAAAAAAAAAAAAAAAAAAAAAAAAATAGCAACGCCTGAAGGTTCATACGGCGCTTTTCGTTAGCATGGCAGACCTGCACTCTGGCTTTCACTTGTCAGAGATTTTTTAACAGTGAAGGCTCCTCTGAGAGGAATAAGATGAGAAGCTAACAAGAATAAAGGACAGGAAAATATAGATTTCATACTGCTGCCGAGAGTAAACGAGCAGTTACGCTCTTTCGTCAGCCGGGCGGCGTGTAGTCACTCCACCGCGCGTGGCGGTGCTTTCATAGAGCATTGTTGCCAGATTGTTTTGATTATCCAACGCAATTCCTCACTTGACTCGATGTTGAAAATCCAGATTTTTTCAAACAATCTGGTAAACTTGTTCCAGAGGACGCGGTGTTAAAGTAAGGAAAGGGTCTTTTGCAGGGGTTATCGAGAGGGGCGCAGTTCCTCGTAATAGGATCATAAAGCCGGCAAACGGTGAGCGCCTTGATGCCAGATCTCAGGTGAAAAAGTCCATGAGAATTATCGTGGATATAACACTGCCGTGCTATGTAAGAACGCCGTATCAACATTCGAGAGTTGCCAAATCTCCCGGATAAAACATGTGTTTTGAGGTAAATTATACATATGCATGAATGGACCGTATTAAGCAGAAAGGAACCAAACCACATCAGCTTTTGCCAATTTCAATCGGGCATTTTAATTTTTTAACATTAAAACGGTTGTGCGGATTTCTGTGCAAATTTTAGTAAATTTTTTGCATAGTGCGAAGCGAATTTTTATAACTTTCATTAGGAATCTAGAAAAACGTTTTCTTGTAAAAAATTTAATTACCCACATAAATTTGCCGATATCTGATGTGACTTGGTTCCATTCTGCTAAACGCGGTCCATACTTCCTTCATTTTCTCAGATATTTTGGACGAAATTGCGAAAAAAATTGTCGGAAAAATTGAAGAGAATCACTCACAACTTTCTCATTAAATTCACATTTTTTTCAAAGGAATTTTGGCAACGCCTGAAGGTGAAGGTTCATACGGCGTTCTTCCTTGGCACGGCAGTGCAGGTGGGGTTGTCATGATTCAAGGGACGAAGTTAGGCAAATTTGCCTACACTGTGAAAATCTCAGGAAGAAATTCGGAGCATATTCTTATCAGTAAAGTACCTATATATAGCGGTGCCGTGGCGTGCTTCGATATATCGATATTGCCCCATTTGAAGCTATGGTAAAAAATCGATTATGAAGGTGTTCGTTGCAAACATCCTGATAATCGATCCTTTTCCGTAGGTTTAAATGGCAGATCAATTGATACATCGCAATGTACGCCACGCCACGCCACGCCACTGATATATAGGAAGAGCACGGACATGTTGAACTATGGAGTTTTTAAGGCCCAAAAGGGCAGTCAAATTTCTAGCACAAAACATGTTACTGTCAATATTCGGATCCCAATATCAACCTAAGATGGCCCAGAATGTTCATAAATGAGCGTTCCTCCGCAAAAATGAGTTAATTAATGCAAAAACTAAGTCAAAAAATCAAGTCACGTTGACCGCACTGCATTTGGCGCAATGCGAGAAGTATTCATCCAGTCTTGTAGGCGCCAATGTGCGTGCCACGCCGACCGCACTGTTTGACGCAATGCGTGAAGTATTCCCATCGTCCTGTGGGCGTTAATATGCGTTCCTCGCCGACTGCGCTGTGTTTGGCGCGATTATTTGAACTTTCGTTAGAATAATCGCGACATGGAATAGAGGGGCTTAAGTCAAATGCGTGCTTTATAAATGACGAGTAATAACAAATCGCTATCTGGATAATTTGAAGTCATGGATTGGCGGCCGTTTGGGCCCTAAGAGCTGCATCACCTAACGTTAATTTAAAACAA